GCACAGAAAGTTCTTATCACAATTTTAGAAATAATCGTTAGTGATTATAGTCAAGAGTTATTGTTGTGACATAGTTTGCATAATATCTCCAATTATGCAAAAGAAGATTTAAATCTATACCCAGGATTTGCCTCCAATTTGCATCCATTTTATCTGCATCCTGTATCAATGTTGTGGTATCGAGTACAAAATTAGTAGATGTTATAAACGTGTTCGTGTGTTCAATATCATCTCTTATCGTGTGTAATGTTTCTTTTGGTTCCAAGCCTGAGTGTGTTGGTAACCAGATCATGTCAGAGTTTTGCCACCATTTCCAATGCTCATTTGCTACTTCATTTGAGTCAATGCTTTCACCGTTTTGTTGAGAATCGTTGGAATGAGATAAAGTAGACATAAAGTCTGTTCTTAAAACATTTTGTGGTGCATCTTCAATTATTGTGGTTGGAATATCAATAATTGGATTTAAGTTTACTCTTGTCACGTCTGTCGTGTTTGTCGTTTGTCGTGGGCTTAGTACTGTTCCTGGCAAATAACTTGCAACAAGAGCAGATCCCAATAAAGTGACTATCCCTGCTGTATATGTTGCCAAACAAATTGATGATATGTTTATCACAGCTTGAGCAATTGTTAGCAATTGCATCGAATTCATTAGACAAGTTAGTTCTGTATATGAAAACCAGCCTCTTTTCTGTGCTTCTTTATAGGCTATAGTCTTCTCTAGTTTTTGTAATCTTTCCCAGAAGTCTTGATTGTTAACGAAAACTGTCCAGTCCTGAATATGTTGGAAGTCTAATTAATACTAGCCAATAAAAGACATCAGTACTTTATTATAGAGTAGTTTACTTACGATAGCTTGGAGAAAATCCTTTTCCAGTTGATTCATTTGTGATATACTCAAGTGACCAGACAGTGCCCATTCAGTATTAAAAACTTCATCTTCCTCTCCTTCATCATTCAAAAATTTACTAGCCACCATCTATAGTAAGAATAAGAATAGACTTCTAGATACACGATAACATAGTAAAACTTTATATAATAAATGCAATTGCTTAATACCAAAGAAACAAGGAATAATTCAGACGGTGCCACTCGTTGCAAATATTCTGGGTTACAATCTTTCAGTCTTTCTAAGTACAATAAAGCCAATACAAGACAACATGGTGAAACACATGCGTTTCTAGAAATCCTACTAGCTTCCTCTATATCCAATCGTTCAAGTGTTTGACCATTTTTTACTTCGGTAAAAAGTTCTGCTGCCAATTCTAAAAATACACATCAATTATATAATCTTTAATGCTAGAAATAATTTAATTAATTATGTAATATTACTAAAATGCTAAAACGTTTATATTAAAACAATGCAAATTATTCGAGGTTATGATAATCTCATCAGTTTTTCTAACAAATTATCATTTTATATTTACTGCGGATATGGAATTATGTACTTAAAACAGCACATTTCCTTCTTATCACTGCATCAAGGATATAGTACAAAATACGCAAATAAAAAAAACTTAAAAACTTGTTGATTGTGTACTAACCAGTAACAGGAAAACTGAGGCGGTCACTCACTGGCAATTTCGCATAGTATAACGATTTTGATATACGACTCAAGAATTCGTCGTGCTTCTCCCTGCTCTGCAACCACACATGTGAATCAAGAAAAAAGAAAACGTTGAATTACGTATTTTTGATAAACACAAAATAAACAGCTGCCTTACCATAAGCTTTGTTGCAGTTTTTCTTCTCTTCGAAGTGTTCATCATCTCAGAATTTTGTAACGAACAGTTGTTCTGCAGAATTTTGAATATGTTCGTAAAAGGTTGAGAGTGCCAAATAATTTAAAAATTTAGAAAAAATTATGAAATAATACGGTATTTAGATTTTAGAACAACGTGATGACCTACGTTCACTGCACATAATGAACGTAGCCCAGCGTCATGTGTCATTCATACAACCACAGAAAACAAAACTTTACAAATGATATATGCATCCGTATTGAATTATGTATGTACAATAAACTATATGTTCATAAAAATGTAGCTATTTCTTAAAGCAGATAAGCAATTGAAATTAGACACAAATTGTAAGAAATACAAAAATATAAACTGAATCTATACATGTACTAGCAGAGAGGATCCATTTCTAGTGATATATAAGTTGCCGCTCGAAGGAACTATAGTATGTAACTAGATGACGCTAAACAAATTTTCAAATTTGATTTGCCAGAAGCTAAACTTGGTTTCATAAGATTTGATTTATTTCGTATTTTCTATTTGTTCTAATACAAAGTTCATTACAAACTCATTATTGTAATTAAAATATTGCAGTTGATATATCTCGTTTAATATGTTATATGCGTTTTTTGAAAGAAACTGACTTAACGGGATCGAACGTTTCCTGTACTGTTTGCTACAGAGTATTTTTACTTCATGGCGAATCACCACTCATAACAATATTGAATACTTCTCTATAAATTTTTAAGAGTACCTGGAAAGCATTTCGTGTATATTCGATTTAGTAAATAAGTAGCAGATGTTAATAATGAACACGTTTTTGGCAATAACGTTCCATTAAATCAAATCTATAGACGAACAAATCAGCGAGATAAGATGTTGAAGATTCGTGTCACTTTTAAGTACTATCGATAAATGTAACGGTCAATAACACCACAATAATTTTTTATTAATAAATGTCAGACAGTATGGCTAGCAGAGAAACGTCAATTAATTCAAAAAACTCGGATGATCACAGTGTCGAGGTTTGTAAGTCTGCGATACGATATTCACTCATATTAGAAGTACGGAAATTCTGATTATGTCTGAAGTTTGAATTAAAATTAAATTTAATATTTTATTGTAGACACTAGCAGAAGTTTTTCGATGTTTCATTTGTATGGAAAAGCTTAGGGATGCGCATCTGTGTCCTCATTGCAGTAAATTGTGTTGCTACACTTGTATAAGAAGATGGCTAACAGAGCAACGCTCTCAATGTCCTCATTGTAGAGCATCTTTACATCTACATGAATTGGTGAATTGCAGATGGGTAGAGGAAGTGACACAGCAGCTCGATACACTTCAAGCAGTTGGTATATCAAATTCTAGGCACGATGATTCTAATAGAGACAGGTATTTTCCTCATAATTAAAAAGGATAATATTTAGTCTCTTAGTACATTTTAAAGTATGTAATAAAGTAAAATTAAGAGTATGTAGTAAACTTGTACTTGCCTATTATTATACCTTTATATTTATATTACAGGTGTACTGTGCATCATGAGAAGTTATCGGTTTATTGTTGGACTTGTCGCAGGTGTATATGTCACCAATGTGCCCTATGGGGTGGAACTCATTCGGGTCATACTTTCAAACCTCTAGAAGATGTATATGAACAGCATGTTACACAAATAAAAGCAGAAGTAGGACAATTGAAACGTAGATTAATGGAGTTGATAAGTCTTGTTCAAGAAGTGGTAAGCTTTACATGTACACCGTTGAAAGGTCTTTATATCTATGTATATGCAATTGAGGGATATTATTTTATATTTGTTTTTCTCACTAGGAACGTAATGTTGAATCTGTAAGAGCTGCTAAGGATGAAAGGGTTAGAGAAATCAGGAATGCGGTAGAACTAATGATAGCACGTCTAGACTCTCAATTAAAGGCAAAATTATTGACACTAATGGGTCAGAAGAATTCTTTGACTTTAGAAACAGAGCAACTAGAAGCTTTGTTGCAAGAAGTGGAACATCAGCTGCATTCTTGTACTCGATCAGAATTGATAATTAAAAGTGCAGACTTGTCGCGAATGATACATCAAGTAAGAAAAAAACCAATGACAAGTTTTGTAACAGCTCCTGTACCTGCGGATTTTCATAGGTACATTTAATAATTCTTTGTATTTTAATTTATAGTTTAATAAATGTTGAAAGAACGGCACTAATCTGTTTATTATTGCAGTGAAATTGTACCAGGATATGATAGTGCAACCTTTGCAATGCAAAATTTTACTCAACTACAGCTGAAAGCAGATCCTGTTTATTCAGCTCCTTTACATGTAAATGGTTTGTGTTGGAGATTGAAAGTGTATCCTGATGGGAATGGAGTTGTTCGTGGAAATTATTTATCTGTTTTTCTGGAGTTAAGTGCAGGTTTACCGGAAACGTCCAAGTATGTGTAACAAGAATTTTGGTATTTTAAAAACTATTTAAAAGTGTTCCCAAAAATATATTACCTTTAGATATGAATATCGAGTTGAAATGATACATCAGGGATCTCGTGACACAAGTAAGAACATTGTTCGAGAATTTGCTTCAGACTTCGAAATTGGTGAATGTTGGGGTTACAACAGATTTTTCAGATTAGATTTACTTGCAACTGAAGGGTACTTAAATACGGAATTAGATACACTTATACTGCGGTAGGTTTAATTCGAATCAGTTAAAGTGTTTCCTGTGTTATGAATGAAATTATAATATCGAAATGAATCAGATTTCAGGTACGACCACCGACGTTTTATCAGCGTTGCAGGGATCAACAATGGTACATTAGTCAATTGGTTACAGTTCAGAACCAGTATGCTGCTCAAATTAATGAGTTAAAAGAGGTAACACTACAATTAACAAATTTTAATTAGTAGTTTAGAAATAATTCAAAAATTCGTTCTCAGAGATTGGCGATAGAGATATCTCGAAATGCCATGACAGCAACAAGAGTATCAAGTGGAACATTATGTGGGCCAACATCAAATGTAACATCACTGGTGATGCAACAACAGTCACAAGCAGCTGGGGATCCATTATTGAACTCTAATACGTCTCGTTCCATTGAACCATATCAAAATGGTACATCGACAAGGTGAATTATATTTTATTATTTTTATGGACAAATTCTTTTTAGTCAGAGATATATAATATGGTTTAAAGTCTTGCTTGTAACAGATCATTACAGAATGTGCTCTCTAGTGGAGGAAATAATAGTAGTACCATGGCAGGTGATCAATTAATGCCTATGTGCCAACTAGGAAATGTTTCAAACATACGTCCACCTGGATCTTCTTCAACGTTATCGTCTATTTCATCGAAAGCAAGTTTAAAACAACATAGAGGGAAACCAGAATCTCCCAATTTGCATGGCACAAATGACGGATCTTCTGGAGATGGTCAAAATAATGGTGTTCATTCCCCCTCGCCTTCTTATTCTCCACCGAGAGAAGGGTTCAAGGTGCTCAATCAGCAACCGTTAACCCTTTTGTGTAGTAGCAGCAGTAGTGATAGCGGAGTAAGATATTTTGAACAATATGGTGTCAAACTAAACTATTATAATCGTTTTTTAAACATAATTTGAATAAATGAATTTTATTTGATTTAGGAATTTAGCGAACATGATATATATTTGGATGAATGTGAACATAATGAGCCACATTTAACGCTGTTAGACGAAAATTCAAATGACGAAAATGACGTAGACGATGAAACTATGTCAGGTATGAGTTAAATTTTAGCTTTGGATCTTTGAATATTTTTCTAGTGTCTTTCTATCAACTGGTCTACCGTGTATAAATTTTTATACGAAAAATGTAATTGAATTAGGTACGAGTTCGAACAGGGATTCTATAGACGTGCAAAGGCGTAGTCAGCGGGACTGCAACTTAGATAAAGGTGTCGAAAATGAAAAATCCTCGAATGAGAAACCAGACGAAGATTATATGAAAGAGAATCCTACTTCCCATACACCAGATCACTTTCAAGCAGTCTCATAAGAGATCCTTTGTCTTTTTCTGAATTAATCTCCGTCTACTTCTTACTATTGGTTTTATAACACGGAATAAATATTTCTGTAAACATATTGTAGTAACTGAAGTTATAGACAAATTTTGATTATGCACTTACAGTTGAAAACTTTATTAAGTAGAAATAATTCTATGTCTTGTATATAGTACAATTCGTAGATAGTTGCCTTCATTGATTGTTAAAATAATTTTCAATAATAATAATTGTATTGTTTGCAGGAGAGAATGATGTAGAAGTTGCAGAATCGTTAACGCCGTGGATTCAGAACAAACAACGTACAAAGCAGCAGAACAATCGAGATAGTACTGGGGATACCTGCAGGTACATTAAAAAGAACAAATAAAAATCATTCAGATTTGTATTTAAAATAATTACTTTAATTGTATTTTGCCATTTTGCAGATTGCGTGGCAATGATAGTTTAGAAGATGAGATAATGTTACTACATCTGTTTGAAATGCAAGATAGGAATTCCGCATGGACTTCTTTGTGTTTCAATCAACATGTAGATGATACAAATGACTCTAGAACTTCTTTGACAAGTTTGCATCACAGTTCTAGTCCTTTGCATTGTAATTCGACTCTATCAACTCATGGATCATCTTCATTTTCACATAAACACCATGAACTTGATTCAGCCTGTAACGAACAATTTTCTGATAAACGCTCAACTTGTCCATCTCATCTTTGCCAGCCTCAAATGATGTGCAATGGTAGATCCAATTTAGGTCAGCTATCTAATATGTATCAGCAAGATGTATCCGGGTTAATGGCTTGTGGAAGTCAAACAAGATCTGAACCCGCGACTCGTTCGAACTCTATAGATTGCGATAAGGATCTTCCAAAGATATCTCTAGTTAATAAAATTAATCACGAGGTGGAAACATCCAGATCGGACTTAATAGTGCCAAATGGTAATAAAAATTCGGAAGGATTACATTTTTCTATTTTTATTGCATACATACAATGATGTGGAACGTATATACTTTTAGTAGTATTGGACAGCAATAAAATCGTATCTAAGCATTTACTGTCACGACGACAATCGTCGCCGTCGTCGTCTGGCAATGTTAGCGTAATAAGTAACGAGAATAGCAAAGTATTCGAATTTGAACAATTGTTGGAAACTATTCAGTTGTATCCTATACCTCAAAAAGACACTGCTAGTTGTTTTAACAAATTAAGGTAATATTTTCTTAAATTATTAGTTAACAGCAACTAGAAATATTTCATTATGATGCATTCATCTCTTGCAGAAAAAATATTTCCACAGAGGGGAAAAGTAACAGTTGCACAACTTCCGGAATCAAAACTGCCACACTTTCTTCGTTAAGCCATGATGCGCCATCATCGTCAACGAGTACTACAACCGATGCTATACCAAATCCTAACAATTATAGTTGGGCTCCTGCGTTATATCAACATAAACACAGTACATATAGTGATATTAAAGCAATACGAAATTGATTATGATACAAATTCAACTGAGAAATACTCACTTATTTTAGGTCAAAAGAACATTTTGGACACTACCATGCAAGCATCTTCTAGCGAAAATTCTAATAAATCGACTACTGAGAAGTAAGTAGATTTTTGAATGGAAAATGAAATTTTGAAGATTGTTATAGAATATTTACAACATAAAATTACTATTGTTACAGGTCGTTAGAAGAAACTAACTCTCCAGGTTCTTCCTGAAATTACGTTTGCGATACTTATTTCATACATGTACTGTGATTTATGTTCATCTAAACGTTAATATTGTTGTTAGAAGTGATAGGAAAAAGTGAGACCACTGAGATTAGAAAACTGATATTTAAATATAATAACATGGTAAGTGTCACAAATAATAAAACTAATATTTTATAGCAGGTATGAGTTACTATACAATTATATAATATAAAACATTTTTCGTATTAATTATTTTACAAATATTTAACAATAATTTTGTACTGGCTATAAAATAACCATTCTTTTATAAATATACATACTAATAAAAGGATTTAATTTTCAGCTTAAAAAGCATAAAGAAAACGAATGCGACTTCAATATCATTCCACATTAGTGTGATAGTGTGATTTATATTATTTATCATTATTTATTATTCGCTCCTAATTACATATTCAGACAAATTCCATGTTTTTATTTAGACGCTAATATTAATATATTATACACTATCAAAATAATCAGTATGTTTAATTTCGTTTTTTTTTTTGGAT